ATTAACCGCCCGTGGAAGACAGTTGTAAACCTCATACATAAAATTTATTTCTTGTATAAAAAATATCAATTTGCATTTTCTTGTATTACGTCTGATATAGTGTTAGAAAAAGCATAACACTCTTGTCGTTTTCTCTCTTTTCTTGCCCCAGTCATATTCTTGTCGAATACCGCTTGCATACAGATAGTAATCGAATTGGATATATGCACAGAAATAGAAATGGGCGGACTACACGGTTGTGTTATCTCTTTGGATTTATTCAATTTTTGCAGTGAGGCGATTCTGAGAAATCTAAAACTAGTAAGGAAAAACCTAACCGTCGATTGTAAGAAGATAGAATACATAATTAGGATTTGGAATAGCCTAAAATGCAAATTAAGAACGGGAGATACGAAAATCAAGCAAGTAAGTTTAAATATCAAGGAATGGTTTACACTATTTATATTCGGACTACTGTCCTCATCAAATATTTCGACCGTTGTTTTCCTCGGTCTTCATCAGGTGTATATGGATCTTGGTAACCTAAAGGTAACTCTGAACTGAACACTTTATTTAATCTACTGAGGTAGATTGTTCTCGTTTCACTGTCCCTGCAGATTAGGTCTAACCATGTTGATTAAATTAAGGGTTCCGTTCAGAATTCCCTGTATGTTAGCCAGATCGATAGAAAACAAATAAAGTCCCGAGGGAACAACGGCCGAAACATTGTGATAACAGCAATTATAACAACAATAAAGATGAGGATAACATTCCGAATATAAATAGTGTAAATTATTGTTGTGGTAGGATCCACCTAATTTGCATAGTGGAGTACCGACCATATAAATATAGTTGGTACCGGGAAGAGAGGAGGGACCGTGCAATTTACAATATTCGGACTATTGTCCTCATCTTTGTTCGCCATATTTATTACAGCCGGACAACGGCCGAAACGTTCTAATAAATATGGCGACAAAGTTGAGGACCATAGTCCAAATAATGTAAATAATGTACATAATACCTCATCTCAGAAATATAGACAGTTACTAGAACCAACAAAACATAGGAAATCTGTGAAGAGCCATAATTTTTCACGTTCTGACGAAACATGGCGCATAGGTGATAATAATTATATCTCTTTCTTGCTATCGGAAAAAAAATAAGAAGGATCATAATAATTACGCAAAAAACTTAAAAAAAAATTATCACAATCCATGCTTCACATTATTGCAAAGTGTTATTGAAGCCTATCTAGATGGTCATTCAAATCATTCATTAGATTTAAGAGTTGGATACATAAAAGACTATCTTCTATTAAAAAAAATTATCCCTAACGAAATGAAGATATAGTTTTTTTTTTTCTGATTAAATCAGAAAGTATATTAAACTTTTTAAAAATTTTCAGTAGTTTTGTTTATTTTATTTTACGGCATGTCAACAACAGTGTTTGATGTAATACCAAGAAGATTTAAAAAAAAAGGTTTCAAATGAATAATATATATATATATATATATATATATTTTTTTTTTTACCGCTATACCATATGTATGCATGATATACGTCCGCTTCTTATCTAGTATGAGCATCATTTATCGTTGGAAAACATAGATGTGCTTTAAAGTTGGAGAAAGACTTTGCAGCGTTTCAACTCCATTCTTTTATCAAGAACAGCATGAACCCAAAAAGAAGGACCAGGCGCCATCTTTGAAGGCACGCAAAACACAGTTTTCCGTTTTGGATATCATAATGGTAACTATTAGCTTACCGAGCGGCTGAATTCCAATCAGTCAGTTCTATATCCCTGCGTCTTTGATAAAATGCCATTGATCACATGAAAGAATTCATCCACCTTCTTCTTAATCCTTTTCGTTGTCTACCCACACTGTAAACTAGAGGTGAATAGGGGAACCGCTTTAGTCACTGGTTTAGTCGACTATGCTGTAAGTAATGCAGAGTTACATAGTACCAGTCGCTTACTTTAGACATATTTATATATATATATATATATATATATATATATATATATATATATATATATATATATATATATATGAAGAAAATATATACGGAAAAAAAACAAACAAAAATCCTTATATGCAATTATGCTGTTTTAATGTTAATATGTCAACGTCGGACGTTTCGGTCTAATAAACCATCTTCAGGACATATTCATAAAAGATAATTAACATTATCAATTCAACATGACAAAGACGATATATAAGAACAAGACTTATCCAAACAGTTAAATGAAAGTTTTATAAGATCAGCACTCCGTTTAAACATGGTCACGTTGTCGTCATGTGGGCGACGATGTGAAAACGTATTCCTAAAATTTAAGTATTTTGAATGAAAAATGTAAAGAATTCTATTTTGATCTAAAATTTATATGTATGTTTGTCGAGCATTAATCTCGCTAGAAAAGGGCAAATACTAAAGAAGCCAGGTCTAGTATTCACCGTGCGTGAGATAGATATTATGCCTGCTTCATAGATCCGCCTAAGATTTTTATTATGAAAATATTTTAAAATCTTCACGGAATCGAAATCGAAATTATGATCAGATTTAGTTGTGTGTACAACTAAAGCATTGTTTAAATTTCCGAGGCTGATATCTCGTTTATGTTCGAAAACACGAGATTTTACGAACCTACATGTTTCACCCACATATTTTAAGTCCCAGTTGTTGCATGAGATTTGGTAGATGCAAGCATCAGATGTAATATGTTGTCTGCTGGTGCTATTTATATATTATATGTTTAAACAGCATAATTGCATATAAGGATTTTTGTTTGTTTTTTTCCGTATATATTTTTCTTCATACTGTCGGATATATATCCATATATTTGCTTATATATATATATATATATATATATATATATATATATATATATATATATATATATATATATAGATTCATACACAAAAACACATACATACATGTAAAGAAGAGTAAATCGATATGTACATGTGACCAATTGGTTAGAAACTTCGATTTCTTACCGTCAGTTCTCACCATGCTCGATTTGTCAAAACGATGATTCCTTGATGTTATCGGCTGAGTGAGAGACGGTCCCAGTGTGAGTCAGATTTGGAAAGTGCATGTAAACCATACCACCGGGTGACCCAAGCATTGTGAATGAGATTGGGTAGATGGAATAATGTAGGAGTTGTCGCTGGTTGTGCTCGCAGGAAATCATAAGTCATCGTGGCCGAGTGTTTGAGCTAACTGATCTTGTTTGCACAGTTGATCATACGAGATAATGCAATCTCCCAGAAACCATCACTAAGGTCCGCTCAGCATAGTTGCACCATAAAACAAAGGCGGGTTTTGTGGGCGTTGTGCAAAAACAAAGGCGCTTTAACTGGTGTAAATTTTTAACACCCTTTTTTTTTTTTTTTCGTTTATCCTCTTCCTTTATAATGCTGAGTCTATTATTATTCGCAAGAAACTTGTTTTGGGAATTGGAGGCGTTAATTAGGATTGTTTGCATTTTGTCATTCGCTTATCGAGTGGTGCTTTAATGAGAGAGAAAAAAAAGAACAAGGAATTAAATAAAAACGAAAAGAAAGCAATTAAAGAAGAGATTAAAATTGATGTCGCTATATCATCTGTGGAAAGTATCGGATGTAAGCATTCCGATATACGAATAGAAAAACAGGATACAATAGATTCCTGTCTTTGTCCAATGTTTATATCACCACAGATAATGATGAAGAAGTGTATCTTTTCTCATCTACTGGGGAGGTAACACTTGCAACTCTCCCCCCAAAAGAACGTAGAGGCCGAATAAAATCCAGTAATGGCTCTCGTGTGGTCGTCAAGAGCCAATCTTAAAGCTACCTCACATTCCTATCTCCAGTCTCCATCTCCGTCAACAGCAGATACAGCAGATAATAGTCAAACAACTTGATGATTCCTATCATGAAGCTGAATTTAACTGCGTCAACAGCAAGATAGATGCCCTTTAAAGACAGCACATCAGCAGTAAACACCATCTAGCCTGGAAAACTGTAAAAGACCTCGCCGGCAATATTTAATTTCGCGCATACACATTGTTTGTTTTTTTATTTTGTCGACTCTACAGTACAGAAGGGTCAGTTGGGCACCGTCTCTGAGAAAAGGCGCACCATGACGCATTTCACTCCACCAGAAATCTCGAAACGGCATGCTGTACCGCTTGGCATTCGCACCGGAAGCTCGAATACAAACATTTCAGAATGTCTGCATGTCAATCTGAGAACATCGCAGAGGATTAGGAAAGAGTTGGATGAGTCTAATGGTGATTACGAAAGTACGGCAGCTCGGAAAACTGATCGTTTTCCCGAGTTTGTAGGTGAGGCCCTGAGACCTTGAGGATGTAGCAATTGAGGAGGTAGTGCTGCCCTGGGTCAAGAGGGCGGTCTCTGGAAGACCCTATGTCTAGCAACATGCCACACAAGCAGGAGAATCTAGTCATGGCTCTAGCTTTCTGTTAGCACATCATCCCATCTGGCCACCTACCTCCCTAGAATGCAAGCCCCTTAATTATTATGTATGAGGCGCAGTTGAGCGAGAGACCAGCAAAACTGCTTGTAACACAAAACATGAACCGAAGGCAAGGGTTATGGCAGTATTCACCAACTTAAACATGGAGACCGTACATAAGAGTTGCAGGATGTCGGGGTTGAAGCCAATGGAGAATTTATTGAATAAATTTCTTCTTTAGTGTTTCAAGATATTTTTTGGATAATTTTGGTAAATATATCTATTAAAATGAGATGTCAGTTTTATTTTTATTTTTATTTCTGCGTAATTTAGACGACAATTTATCTATCGCGCCCTGTATTATAAAAAAATGATATGTAAAGAGAAAGTAAAAAAGGTTGACATGAGAAAAGAGGGGAAAAAGACGAAAAAACTATTTAAAATTAGCTACAGCAGCAGCAGCAGCAGCAGCAGCAGTAGTAGTAGTAGTAGAAAAAGAAGAAGACGATGAAGAAGATGCAACAAAAGAAAAAGAAGACGAAGAAGAAGAAGAAGGATTAAAAAAGATGATAATTAGAAAGAGAAGAAAAGACAAGAAGATTAAAACAACAAAATGACCAGGAGGAGAAAAGCGTAGAGAGAGAAGAGAAGAAAATTCGAATTATAACATAAAAAATGAAAATAAAATGAAAGCGAATAAAGTATAATACAATGTATAAATAAACTAATTCATTAAGAAGAATGTGAAAATTAGAAGAAGAAGAAGAAGAAGAAGAAGAAGCAGAAGAAGAAGAAGAAGATGACGAAGAAGGTGAATAAAGTAAACTACAATGTATAGATAAACTAAGGTAATGAGAAGGCAGCGAAGCCGAAACAAAATGAGGGGGAGGAAGAGAATAAATTGAAGAAAAAGAAGAGGAGGATTGAAGGAGGAGGAAGAGAACGCAAGTAGAGATAAAAAAGATGAAGACGAAGGGGGAGAATATAAGAAAAGAGGAGGGAGAAAGAGTGAAGGAGGAGAAAAATGAGGAGGAGAGGAAGACGTGAAAAAAAGGAAAAAAAGAAAAATGATTGAGTGGAGGCGTTGGAGAAGAAAAAAAAAAAGGAACAGAAGAAAACGAGAACAAAGTAGCAGTTGAAGAAAGAAAAGGAGATGGAGAAGAAGGCGTTAAATTAAAGGAAGAAAAAGAAGGATATGCACGCAAAATAAGAGGAGGAGTAAGAGGATAAGTACGGAAGAAAACGGAGGTGGTAGAGCAGGTGAAGTAGGAGAAAGAATCGAAAGGGAAGAGGTACATTAAGTAACCGAAGGAAGAGGAGCAGGTGAAGGAGGTCGACAAGTTGGCGTAAAAGGGTAAGGGGGAAAAAATCGCAAGTGCAGCTGTAATAAGAGGAAAATTTCGAGGAGGTGGATGAGAAGAAGGAGGAGTTTGGAGGAAGAAAACGATGTGGTAAGAGTAGGTTACGCAGAAGGAGTAGTATTTAGCAAAGGAAGAGGAAGAGTAGCAGAAGAAGAAGAAAAGGGAGGAGGAGGTTGCCAAGTAGGAGGAGAAGACAAAGAGGACTGGTGAATATGCAAGCTGTAAAAATATAATCGTGATCAAAAAATAGTGAAAGAGAGGACGAATCTATAAATGCAAAAAAGCTATAATGGAAAATATTAAAACGCCAACTCAACGATACTATCAGTGAACCTTTGATTTCCAATAACACTAATTGATATTTAGATTCAGCCGCTGAGTCAAGTCAATACTAATTAGATATATTTCAGTAATGTAGACCAGATAGGAAAAAAAATCATTATTGAATTACAAAAATTTTTTTTTTAAAAGACAACGGAAACAATTAACAAATCAAAAGCGAATGAAATAAAAAAAATTAAAGGTGGAAAAAAAGATGATAAATTATCGCTCATAAAAAGCAAATAAAGAAAAAATGATTTAATAAAATTACGTTCTTCAAGTCAAAATGTGAAAATGTAAAGAAAGAGAAGTGAAAACTTCTCACAGTTAATATCATGAATAGTAGAACGCGCTAGTCGATTTCACATTGGATACTGATTAGAGAGGCTAGCAGGGAAGGCCTTTTTTAAAATCATTTTACCCCAAGTAAGGCGATAATGCTAAATAGGATGCAAAGTACTATCACGATTGAATGAGAATAATATTTTATTGAGGAGAAATGAGGCAAAAGGACAATAAAAAAAAACAAGATTCAAGAAAACAGAATATCGCGATTGGCGTTCCATTTAAATTTTTCTCATCGTATATGGCAGGGAAGCCAATACCATAATCCCCCATGTATAGTACGCATTTCTTTTTCGAAAAAAATAATAAGCAAAATTAGGTGTGCGTATTATGAGCAATTACAAAAAATCGTTAAAAATTGCCGTTTCATGTGTGGATTTCAGTTGTGAAATGACTATTCACCACAAACATACGACAGTTTGATATTAACATTGGGCGATTGCGACCCAGTAATGATGTCAAATACAATCATATATACCTAACAATACTTACAAAAATAAAATAAAATAAAAGTTATCATAAAACTAAATTAGAATAATATTATTCGCTATTTAAAACCATTTTTTTCAATAAGAATAGGAAACATTGGCCGTAATGAAATTGGATAGGTAGACAAAACTCAGGGAAGCAACGTCAAGTCAGTGAGAAAGCGTTTGAAGTCGAAATGCCAGGACAGGATCGATTATATTACAGACAATTCTTTGAATTATGTCGAGAATCTGAAGACATATGGTAGAAGCACCAGACTAGATATAACAACAGTATTTCATACAACAACGAATGAGAGATTTGTAAATGTCCAAGATCAATTCTGAAAAGAAGAAACTGTCTAGCAAATATTAGTGTCCGTTTAAGTCTAATTCATTGACCTCTTTTGTTTTCTTTTTGGAGAAACAATTGTTTGGAAGATGTTATCTCCACATTTAATTACAATTAATAATCCGGGGAAAGATTAGAAAAAAATTTCAATACACTGATGTACGACAATGTTCAATACAATAGCTGATCTTTCCTCTGATCAAGATTCAACAGCTCAGTTTAGGGAAAAAACTGGCTGATTACATTGAATACCTCAAAAACCAAACTAGTTTCCTTCCACCATCGCCGAGCGGACCAGAACTTGCACCAAGACCAATGAATGGATATTCCCTCAGGAAGGCCCCTGAGCTTTGAGCGTCTATTGGATTTTAAACTAAGCCCAGTACTCAAGAGGAACTTCTATATACAATCCATAGATAAAGATACTGGAAAGATTGTGGGATCCCATTACCGCACCTGCAAATACCAGACTTTCCTGCGATTCTCTACCTATATAAGAGACACATCGGGAAGAAAGTAGAGTACTGCTGTCATATGCGGTCAGGAGCTGGTCAGTTTTCAGTTTCCAGTATCTCTGCAACCTTGATGGGGACGAATTTTTTTCCACACTACAACGCCTTTCTGAAAGACGATACATCGCAAGCCACCCGAGATCAGTGTTCAGACGAACTACACCCTTTAGTCCCACCAGGCCTAACTTTCACGGCTAAGACCCACCATGCCATGCACACTGTAGCGGACCACCTTTATTCCCTTCATATTCCCTTGTTGGGATATAAGTTCCATTCAACCAGCTTTTTCCCACAAGCCTGGAACCAACTCCCAAGAGGTTTTATTCCCTGTCACTCCACTCTTAACCTGGTCTCGTCTTGTGTTAACTGTTATCTTCCATGCATGTCTGCATTGGCTATGCCTCTTACTCTTTAACCCTATATCTCGACTGACCCTAGGGCTTTTGTACAAGGCGAACATGATTGTAAGAAGATGACAGTAAAATATCAGTGGTAAATTTCCACAACAAGCTCTAAAAGGTGAGCTCCAAGAAAGAAAGCTAATATTTTGCATGTAGTGTTCCCAAAAAAAGTTTGGCCGTCTATTGATGATGGTGCATTTTAGAAGAAAAAACAAACTTCATATTGGCACTTTAACTTTTATGAAACAAAAACATCTGAACACTATAATCTTGAATTCTTCAAGCCAAAGGGTCCATCGTTATGTCACATCATCTATGTCCATTTCCTAACACATTCGGTTCCAATTATATATCCCTACCTAATTCATCATGACCATTAATTTTGTAACTCTCTTCCTTGAGTGACGCGCCATCACAAAATTCGTTGAAATCTGGTAAAAACGAAAAAAAAATACAATCAGGTGACCATTTTCTTATGTTGTGTTTACAGACTGTGATATTCTTCAAGAGAGAGAGAGAGAGAAAAAAGTAAGCATTCTTCTTCGCAACTAGATAGATGCGATTGCATGCAAGGTTATATTCCAACCATACTGCTGACCGGGTCGTATACATAGTTATGTAATCAAAGTATTTTCAAGCAAGCTCGAGTTTTTGCAACTGGGGAAGAGGACGGTTGACAGCTCGTTGGCATAGATGAACGAACTTATTCAAAAACTGGATTAGAAATACCGTAGCATAACTCCTACAGGATTTCATTCGGCAGATTTTCCCTTATCAAGTGCTGAGCCTACATTTTCGATTCTGTAAAATTCTACATGCCACTATAAGAAAGAAATCTTGGCGTATGCCTTTATGCAGTTTCCCGATTCACGCTGGGAGAAGCCATATTTAATCATAAGATAGAAATAGAGAATCGAAATAAATAAATGTGTTTAGCGACAAAGTGAAAATTTTGTGGGTTTTCAAGAGAGAGCGAGAGGCAAGAGAACAGTCCAGAAAGATTTTGAAGCGGAAGATGGTGGTCAAAATGGATGTAGAGAGAAGGAGAAAGAAAAGAAAGCGAACGAGAGAGGATATGATGAGAAATAGGAAATCGAGGAAGAAAAGAATGGAAAGAGATTGGAAGGTAAGAAAGAAAGTAAGGAGAGAAGCAAAGAAATATAATTACGGACAAAGTGAAACTTGTATGGGTTTTCAAGAGAAAGCTAGGGTAGATAGAATGATCTACGAAGAATTTGGAACGGGGGGATGGTTATCAAAATGGAAGCAGAGTGAAAGAGGAAAAAGAGGACTATATTAATTATATAATGACAGTGGGGGTGTAAATGAGAAAGTGATATATATAGAAATGATGTTTAAAGAAACCGAGGGAGGGAGGGGGTAGAGAAAGAGAGAAGGTGATGAGAAATCAGAAATCGAAGGAGAAAAGTATGGAAAAATATAGGAGCGTAAGAAAGAGAATAGAAGGCAAGAGATATTATTACGGACAACGTAAAAATAATGTATGCATATTCAAGAGAGGGTGAGGATGAGGAGCGGTTTTTAAAGAAAATGAAGAGAGTGAACAAGATGTAAGTAGGGAGAAATGGAAAGAAATTGACAAGCAGAAATTACAAGGAGGAATAACTGAGAAAGGTCAATAGAAATATGAAGTACAGTCTGCGGCAGAAATATCTCCCACATGTTTCTTTTTTTCCCTCTTTAGCTTCAGTTTTTTCTTTCTTTTCTTCATTTTGTACATATTTTTCTATTTAATATTCTTCTTTTTCTTCCTATACCCTCTCTAATATCTCGTTTATTTTCCGTCCCTGCCTTTATATTTTTTTTATACATGGTGCGACAGAAATATCTTCCACATATACCTCCCAGAAATACCTCCCATATAATGGTAAGATATTAGTGGCAACAGTGTCTGCATCTAGCTAATGTCTTCTCATTATGTGGGATGTATTTATCGGAGGTATTTACGCCGCACCCTGTATAAAAAATAAGAGAGCGAGAGGGATTAATTGAGTGAGAGAGAAATAGAGAGAGAGAGAGAAAAAATAAGAGAGATGCAAAAGAGAGAAAAGGGATAAAAAGAAGGTAATTAGATTGGAAAATGGGAACAACATGAGGGAAAGAAAGAAAGAATTGGAATGAGAGTAGGAAAAGGTCAAAAAAAAAAAAAGTCTCCAATGTCGTCTTATCCCTTCATGACGTGTGTGATTAACTCCATTCGTACCCTCTTCTGCCATTCAGTTACACAAGCTCATTAAATTAATTTATTGATTTTTCCCTGTGAGTGCCAAATTCTCCAAGCTATCTTTTTTCAATATGTATCCTAGAAAGGTCAACGGTCTCTTTATTTTTATTTTGATTATAAGTATACTTTTCGTTTCAATTATCGGCAATGGAAACCCAGTCTTAGTGGTCGAACATTTACATCATTTCTATTGCATCTGTCTATATTTCTGAGATGAAGTATTATGTACACTATTTACATTATTCGGACTATCGTCCTCATCTTTGTCGCCATATTTATCACAACGTTTTGGCCGTTGTACGCTCCGGCCTTCTTCAGGTGATTGGAATGTCGAACTACAGTTCGACATTCCAACCACCTGAAGAAGGCCGGAGCTACAAAAATGGTTTAAATATTTCTTTTTATAATTAGTCCATTGTTTACAGACCTTTGAGTGACTGTACCTCTGACAAAATGTCGTTTAAATTGATATACGATTTTGTTTTTTGTAAAAAAAAAATTAAATTTAGTGTAGTACACAATTAGTTTTATCTTTTACTAGGCTAAGTGGGAGATATATTAGTACATACGATTATTTTAGACTTTTTTCATCATGTTTGGAATTAGAATGTATTTGATTGTAGTATAGTAGTTTGATATGTTTAGGAATATTGGGGGATGTATTATGTTCTTCTTGAATTATGTTATTTCTAATAACTTGTAGAATTGGTTCATTAAAATGTAATTGGATTAGACATTATTAATGAGAGTTTCTTTCATGTTTCTTAATTTAGTGTAGAAAATGGTTCGTTAAAGATTTATATTTTGCAAGTTATATTAAATTTATTATATCTATTTGTGATAGGACATTCACATTTATAGTAGAGAGTGCACGTATTTATGCTAGTTATTTTTTATATGGGGAGGTAGTAAATGTATTATCATTGGTGTTTGCAAATACATCAAGAAACACGATTTTATTGCTATTATTAAGTTCGTAAACGTAGTTAAAGATGATGTTTTTTTAGTAGTTCTTGTATTTCATGTACGTTTTTGACTAATATTGGAATATAATCTATATTAAGAAATGATTTCTATGAAAATTTCTCGGACATTCAGGCCGGTAAATGTTATTTAATACTGTTTATTATAAACAGAGCATTGTGGCCGAGAGATTAGGCACGTCAGCATAAATGACGGTTCCGTATAGGATGCAGGTTCGTATCCTGTCAAAGGACGAATTTTTCTATGAAAATTTCTCGGACATTCAGGTAAATGTCATTTAATACTGTTTATTATAAACAGAGCATTTACTTAAATACTTGTATCTATAAAAAGAACGTTAAACATAAAAAATGTCTTTACTATATAATATAATCTATATATCTTAGGTAAAAAGGATGTTTTAGTAGTATTAAATATCTTATTTTCAAGGTTAGCCATGTAAAAGTTCCTAAATGTTGGGCCCAGAACTGAACCCATGGAAACACCATGGCATTCTATGCATATATTATTTTGAAAGTCATATAAGGGAGCCTTAGTGGTACACATCTTATATTTAATTTTTAATGGAGGGAGAGATTGGTTGTTGAAAATATTCTTTATAATTATATCAATCGTTTCTCTGACTGGGGCTTTGTTATTTAAATTTTCAACGTCAAGTGAGGCTATGTTTTCATTATTAGGCTTTTGTCGTTTTATAATTTGGAGTAGTTCGTGAGTTGATTTAATTGTGTATTGATGAGATTGAAAGTACTTGGAAAAATAAAAATCAGAAGAATAATAATCACGTCAATTTTCTCGGCCAATTTCCAATAGCACAAAGAAATTGATCCGATAATTTGAGACGATTCAAATAAAATAGACAGAACAAGACAAAACTATTTAAACAATCATGCTGGAATGAAGATATGCTGCCTAAATATATAGAAGGAAAAACTATACATATCCGACTCGTTTCGCATATATATATATATATATATATATATATATATATATATATATATTAGCCGAAGTACCAAGCGTTGCCCCAGTGTACATGGCTACAATTAAATAACCACCACTCCGTACACCGCACCCCCTAGAAATGTCTGCCTGCGCCCCCGCTTGCATGCATCACATATTGCTTTACTAAGCTTCTTACACCAAATTTTATTTTACGGCATGTCCTTCGCAAGTGTTTGATTGTTCTTAATAAATTCCATCGATAAAATCTTCTTGTGTGGTCGTTGCTGGGGGTTAATTGTTCTAATGTTTTAGATATTCAGTAAATTTTATATGGTCGTAATAACATCCAAATCGTATGGCATTGTTCACAAATCTAATAATCAAGCAAAAACAGGAAGGACGCGTCGGAGCTTGATTCAACTAAAACTGCAAGCGAATAACGCCCCTCCTATTTAGAATATTTACAGCAAAGCTGGAATTAATAAGATGTTCTTCGGGATTCTTCCCTTTTAACGCTTCAATAATTCTTTCCAAACAATTTAGAATCGAATCATATGAAGAAACCAATTGCTAAATGGTAGAAGCCGATTTTGGACCTAGTTTGTCTCAGATTTCGTCCACGGAACTGAGATAATCGAAACCAAACATTCACGCAAAACAAAAAAGCCGGGAAACAAACAGTACTAAATCACACTATCTTATTTCATGCATGATGGCAAATGTTCTTGCTACATGTTTGAATAAAATCGGATTAAAAATGAGAAAGTCATTCAAGTTTTTATCTTAAGTAGTACGAAAAAACATTTTTTCACAGATTTTTGCAATTTTTTTGTGTGAAGTCAACGCCTCAGGGAAAACTATAAAACAATCTACATAAGACTCGTATCATGAGCTAGGTTTAGCATTAAGTGCAAAGAACATCAACACATCCAGTAAAAAAATTTGTTCGCGTGGCTTGGCTTTTGCAAAATGTCGTACCCAACTTCAGATTTATGGATTTTTCTGCCAAACGCGGGAGGCTTGTAGATTGAAAGGTTAGTCATGTTCTCCCATGGTAAATTTGCAACATGTGTGTACAATTTCATCAAAGTAGGCCTAGAAATGCGGACGTCCATAAATAGCATATACACACAGACTAACACAGACACACACAGAGACAGGATCAGTTTTTATATACGTATACACACGCAAACGCATATATATATATATATATATATATATATATATATATATATATATATATATATATATAAAATGCATGTTTCATTAAATAATATAGACAAGTTTTGTCTAGTTATTTTAAGTAAATACCTTTCATATTGTCGAATAAGCTTTTTAGCATTATCACTAAAACACGAAAGAAAATCACTATGTTGATACATGTTTTTATTGTTAATCCTGTCTAAGCTTTCTGCTTACATAAGTTATCATTTGAAATTAGAATATTATATAATATATAGAGATGAGAATTATATAATCTATTATTTAATTTATTGTAACGTATATGTAGTCTCTGATGGTGGCTTATGTAAGCCGAAAACTTAGACAGGAATAATAATAAAAACATGTATCAAGTGATTTTCTTTCGTGTTTCAGTGATAATGCTAAAAAGCTTATTCGACAATATGAAAGGAATTTACTTGAAATAAATAGACAAAACTTCTCTAAATTATTTAATGAAACAAGCATTAATGAAAAAATGCTGCCTAAATACACACAATATATATGTGTGTGTGTATGTGTGTATATACGAAATTATTAAAAACAGATAAAGCATGCAGAAGCCGCCGAAGATAAAAAAAAAATCTGAAAACATTAGTAAATAATAAAGATAAAGTGTGCTCAATATTATATATATATATATTAGGGGTAGATTCTCCGACTGACGCCAATTTCGCCGGGTTTCGATCCTAGGCAGATCAACCGAACATCTTGTCACACTGATGAGCAGTGATACAGCGAAACTGTCTGTTTGTGGACGACAATATATATATATATATATATATATATATATATATATATATATATGCTAGAGTAACAAAAATATTGTAATATTTGTTAAAACTGAACATATTAAAAGTAATCTCTCTCTCTCTCTCTCTCTCTCTCTCTCTCTATATATATATATATATATATATATATATATATATATATATATATATATATATATATATATATATATTACAATAACGAAACCGGGGTCTTAATCGAACACACTGAAAGTATCACCATTATTAAGAGTTTCACACGATGAAGCGATACTCAAACAACTTATCACGTGAAGCCCTAAGTAACCTTGAAGTTTGTGTCATTAAGTTTAAGCCTTTGAAATAATTTAACAAGTTTGGCAATAGTCTGACATTGCGGAAAAACTTTGTTTTGTATATATTTGCTCATAGTACTGAAATCCATGGAAATTTCAACCATCTATCTTACAGAAAGACGGTTATTTGACGTCAGTTTCAAATTCCCCATTCCACAACTATATCCACCCATTCAATTATCCGGAAATCATCCCAGAGAAAGAATGCAATTTTCTCTCTGCATAAGGACAACCATGTCAAACAGCTTGATTGGCGATGTTTCTCGGGGCAAAAATGATATTTTAGTTGAACAATATTTGGCATTTAAAGATGCTTTCTCAGATTAATAAACGATGGCCACCATGAATTTTATTTTTAAGCATGTTAATTACCAAAACAGATTATCAAGCAAGAAAACATGATAAATAGATAGATAGATAGATAGATAGATAGATAGATAGATAGATATAGACAGTCTGAATCACAAGGATATGAATAGACTGGAATACTTGTAAGACTGAGATAGATAGATAGATAGATAGATAGATAGATAGATAGATAGATAGATAGATAGATGCAGACAAAGAAATATTGAAGCATACGAACATATTGGGATAGATAGATAGATAGATAGATAGATAGATAGATAGATAGATAGATAGATAGATAGATATGGGCAGTCTGAAACAAAGAGATATGCGTAGATTGGAATACTAATAATACTGATATATATATATATATATATATATATATATATATATATATATATATATATAGAGAGAGAGAGAGAGAGATAGATAGATAGATAGATAGATAGATAGATAGATAGATAGATAGATAGATGGATAGATAGATATGGACAGCCTGGAAAACAGAAATATGAATAGACTGGAATAGTTATAAGATAGATAGATAGATAGATAGATAGATAGATAGATAGATAGATAGATAGATAGATAATCTTCTAAATCCCAATTGTCTTATCCTTACAAAAAGCTAAAAAAGTGACCATGTCTTTATATATAAATTGATTACTCAGGCAAATGACAAACTCACCAGCATCTTACTGTTGTAGCAGATATACGTCTTAACAGATATTGATAGATCAATACATTTATTGGTGTTATTTTTTACGTGTAAAGAATACAGTGATTGTGAATTTATCAGTTATGATATGTTTCCCACGTGGAAGTGTACAGCGTCCATTTCAATATGTCAAGTCTTTGTCAGAGGCCACTCATTTTTTTTTTTTTGCTTTCTTTCATCGACATCGTTGCATTTGTCCCTTTTATGTACGTCAACTTTGTCCATCTCTAAAGCAGCCAACACCTTCTTTGAATTATGCAGATGGAAGTATAAAGAACATTTAATAAAAAAAGAAAAGAAATGGTAAAAATATACTAAACGAATATAAATCAAATCTCGTCACGACAATAGAAAAAAAAAAGAAAAAATGAATCTAATATGGCGCTATGAAGAGACATTTAATATAAGTCAAAATCCTCTTGTCAACAATATCCATGTATCAGTAATTGTTCAGTCTCGCGAGGAGGTCTCTCTGTCACCGGTCGTGTTGTGGGCATTTGTCAAGACCGTAAAGAAAATGGAACACGACGTATTTTATGGATGGTAGGAAAAAAAGAAAGGAACAAAAAGGAAGAAAACAATGGATGTCGAGAGATGTTATCTGCTTTCAATATGTCAACAGAAAGAAGAACTGACGCATTTTCAAATTAAGTAGAGACCGATAAAATACCGATAACAATACCATTATATACCTACATGAATGAATTATATATATATATATATATATATATATATATATATATATATATATATGTGTGTGTGTGTGTGTGTGTGCGCGTGTGTGAATGTGTGTGTCTGTTTACCTATATGTAAGAAAGATACTGAATTGATGTCATGCGAAATAAGTTTCTGAGACGTTGTCAGGCCAATATACTTGCAATATCCCTCGTGTGTCTGAGTGCGTATATATATATATATATATATATATCCTCACTCTCTCTCTCTCTCTCTCTCTCTCTCTCTCTCTCTCTCTCTCTCTGTATATATATTTAGTGGGGGAAACAAACATTCATGCACATACAAATTTTTAATTTATTGTATTTCCAAGTAATGAATAAGCATACTTTTCATATAATTAACTGTACATAGATGCATAATAACTAAATATGCATAGGAATCAGAACAAAATTTAGTTTAATGGAAATAAATCTCATTTAACCATATGAATGCGTGGAAAAAGTATTCGTACAATATATATATATATATATATATATATATATATATGTTTGTGTGTATGTGTAAAGAAACAAGAAGGAAAACTATTCTTAGCCGCTGCCTTTCGGACTTTATCAAGGCAATGCAGGTTTTATTTCTCTGCACATGTGTTTATTCAAAGTCGAGAGTGTTATTGGTCTATCAGGGGTTTTAAATTTGAGAATATTCGTAAGTGTTCATCAGGTAGTCAAATGTTTAGAAAGAATATGTGGAGGTCACAATGTCTCATAATTCAAATTAGAGCAAAAAGTAAACAGAGCGAGTAATAATCTAGCTTCTTTTTTTTTTTAATGGGCACTGTTTACTTTGTGATTAGACTGTAATGGTAGATGATGAACTTATGAGCTGAATAATTTAACCGTTTTCTTTTGACCTTTTCAACATATTTGTGGTTGTGTCTGCTGGCTGGCTAAAGTAGTAATTCATTCTAGATTATACACAAGCCAATATACATAATCACAAATACCTTGGAAAATCACAGAAGAACACGGATTCACTGACATAGTTTCAATCTCAGAGAATCTAATATTTGTCACCAAGGAATATATCAGAATGCCCGTTTTGTCTCAGTAGGCTTCTCAAGAATGACAGTATTGCTTTCTTTGAGGAAACTGCTCTTAATTGATGGCATCTTGATAGATTTCAAAAGCGCCTGCGTGTTTTGGAAAAGAATTATTTTCTACCCTTCAACTCCTCTGTCATTGGCGGGATGTGCCGAGTCTCTAACTATTGTACCGCTACTAACCTGGAAAGTGCTCGGGCGAACTACATCCTTTCGTTCCCCAAGGTCTACCTATCACTGTTACGACTCACCATGCCACTTACATAGTAGCAAACCCCCCACACTCCCTCCGTATACCATCGGGGAGAAGTAAGTTCCTCTCAAACAGCTTCTTCCAGTGGAACACTGCTCTGTGGAACAGATATTCGAGAGGATGTTTTTCCGATCACAAAAGTCTTACCGTGTACAGGTTAACAGTTGTCGCCACCTCTTTTCCATATAATCTACCCCTTAACAAAATGCTATACCTCAAGCCGTGCCCGGGGCCTGTACAGGGTGAACCTTACTGTAAAATTGATTAAATCTTTCTGTGTTTACATAGTTCAGTAAGGAATTAGTACAGAAAACCTTGTAGATTTCTACTATTATTTTTATTTACGACTAGCAGTATTTCTGATAAATATATCTTCTTTATTTCATACTTGAATAAATTCCCTGCAATTGTCAGAACGATAAAACATTAGCAAAAATTGAAATGTTTAATAATTCATTATCTGTGCTTAGAAATGTTAACATAATTTTTCATTAACAATCATAAATATGTAGGTCATTATTTAAAGAAGTAAGAGGGTACAAATGTAAAGAATCAATATTGACATATTACTTCCTTTCGAGATCCTTGTCACCACTTCTATCTTTCAGTATATGTCTATATTTCTGAGATGAGGTATTATGAACACTGTTTACATTATTCGGACTATTGTCCTCGACAAAGATATTTACTATAAGGTTTCGGCCGTTGTACACTCCGGTCTTCTTCTTTAGGGAGATCGCCGCCCTCTGTTGGGTCAGGTTGAGATCATAGACAAAGAAAACCATTGGAAAATTCATAAATTAGTACATGTGCTAGGCCACAAAAATCTCCTGAGCCGACAAAGCATAGAAATGAATACAATATGGGAACCAGTAATAAGGAGTTCCAGAGAAAAGCGATAAGAACAACAAAAATTGCAATATGAGCTTTGGTAAAAGCATGGATGATAACAGCAAAAAATTACAATCTGAACACTAGTAAAAAAAAACGGTTGTTGACACATTAGGTTTATAATACACAGAAATTCATACCCAGATGTCCTCAAGGACGCATAACACAGTGTATAAAGGCGTTGGTTAGATCCAGTGACAGGGCCCAAAGAGTGTGAGTTCAATACCTGGTTAAGTGGAGACCTTGGAGAGGGGAATTAACAGTAGATAACTATAACTGATATCCATAAACATGGCACGTGGATCTTGAACAGTCTACACCAGTGAGCGAAATAAAGGGTTCAGTTTGACATTTCACCCAACTGAAGAAGGCCGGAGCGTACAACGGCCGAAACGTTGTAATAAATATGGCGACAAAGATGAGGACAATAGTCCGAATAATGTAATTAGTGTACCTCTGTCTCTGTGATTTCAGCTTTAAAGAAAACAAAAGATTATACGCAAAAATATAATTATTTAAATTTGTACAGCTGTGTTTCAAGATTTTAACTCACAGATAGATAGATAGATAGATAGATAGATAGATAGATAGATAGATTTTAACAGACTGAGGCAGATAGAAGAGAAATAAGATTCCCTCGTGAGATAAGAGAGTGATGATGTCTTTATGCGAAAATAAAATAAAAATAATAACTTTTGAGTATGCAACATAGTTCTTTTTAAAAACTTGTATTTTTTTGTCTTGTTTTTATTTAAAAAAAAAACGATAAATAGTTTTATTTCAGAACAAATCGGAGGTTTCCTAATAGAGGTAGGCAGGTAAAAATATTCAACTCACCAAACACACGTACTTACATAACTATACATATATATATATATATATTAATGCAGACTAAAGGATGATTTCCTTTTACTTATACACTAATAATTTTATTATTTGTGAATATGAAATTGTCAATTATATATACGAGTCAGAAATTTGCCAATATGTTTATATGGGTAAAACATCGAAAAATCGTTCTCGTTCTAAATTGATAAATGTTGGTATTAAACAATGCAATGACAACCATTTTGAATATTTGATAAGTTAAAGTTTCCGAATTTGCTCAGAGCCGAATATAGGGGTGACTCCGGGAGGATCGAATTCAGTATTTATTTTAATTGATCTAACGAGATAAGTTGGCTAACCATTAGACCAAATTCTTTCTTTTCATTATAGTGATTTTTCTAAGCTTTTTTTGGCACAAGGTCGAGGCTATGGGGCATCCAGTGAGGATCGAACCCAGTACTCAGTCTAGCGAGGCAAGCTTGCTAAAAATTACCCCCGCCCGTCGAGCTGCGTCCTTTTTTTTCATTATGTATTCCTTCGTTTTCACACTAATACGATACGGCGTCTCTGATGTATACTTTTTATGCCGTCTCCCCCGCCCCGAACTCAGAACGGAATGGTTAATTATTTATCTGAGGTAATGGCAGGCGGTAACGCATATGATAACTCTTCTAAAAAAGAATAAAAAAAATAAAAAATAAACAGAGGAATCAGCAGAATTATTGCTATTCATGATAACAGATGTAGCTTCTAATGTATTTGAATTTAATTTTATCCCGTCTTACAGAAGTTTGAAGAATTATTTTCCGAATAATTTGCCACAAAAAATGAAAACGAGTAAAAGAGACCTTAATTAAAATTAGAAAGAGCTGATCTTAAAAATTAAGCCTCCAGTTAGATTTGAAAACATATGTTTCGTATTTGGAAGCATAAGTTTTCTCATATGGCTCCTGTCTTTAATTCTTTGGACGCCATGCGTCGTCAAGGGACGTTTATATATTTAATATAAGGTTAAACACAATTGTCATTTATTATTAAATTTTGATTAATATTATAGCATAATTTAACGCTTTCAATAATTTCCTCCTGTTGCTTGGAGATTATGGACATAAAAGAAAAGCATATAAAAACAAAGGCAGAAAAAGCATTCCTTGGAATAACGATTTTTCATTCTTTGGGAAAAATAAAGCAGATGAGCTGAGAAGAATTTAGAAAAGGGATTTATGGATTCTACGTCAAATATTCTTAAGTAGATATTTACAAATAATGGTAAAAAAAAATATTCTCTAAAAATGTGAAGATTTTAATTATTTTAAACGAAAATTATTTCGTTTAGCATCTGCCTAGCTAAATATTCCTATTCCTATCTATAGATCTAATAAACTTGTCTATATTCCATTTATCTTCTCTCAATTTGTACAGTATATATATATACATATATATATATATATATATATATATATATATATATATATATATATATATATATATATATATATATAAAGTGAACATAAAGTCGTCAGCATAGAGGCGACCGTCTGTTTCATGGCCTGACGATTGCATAGGCCATGAAACAGACGGTCGCCTTTAAGTGTTGACTTTATGTTCACTTTTATATTTACACACGCTCTATCTCAGATATCGATCACTTTATCCCATAAATATAGCACACCTTAAGACAATATTTTATCATATATATATATATATATATATATATATATATATATATATATATATATATATATATATATGTATGTATGTATGTGTGCATGTGTATGTATGTATATATATGTGAAAAGTGTTTGTATATGGATATAGATGGATATGTCTATGCGTGGATATGTGGATATATTTATATATGTGTGTACATGGGTATATGTATGTGTGTATGTGGGTACACGCTATGTGTATGTATATACGTGTATATGTTATTGTGTATGCGTGTATTCGCATGTGTTTTTGAACATAAAAATATAGGTCGTTGCTAGATTATATAATCGTTATATTTATTTTTTATATGTTTATATTTGATTTGTAATCTGTAGTCGATATTAAATTTGTCAAATTTTATCAAATACACAGCAGCCCTTTCAGTAAATGTAGTTCAATTTTACTTTCCTTCGCCCTATCTCTCTCCCCCACCTCGACTTTCCCTCTCTCTTATTCTGATCTTCAACATTAAATCGTCTATGGTTTGTGTATGTCACCACGAAATGTATCTTTATGCATTAGACATCCGACAACATTCATATTTCTCCTACTTAAACCCCTTCCACTCACCTCTCCTAAAATTCTCTCTGTTAAGGTTTAATCTCCCTCTTTCTCTAGTCTGTTACCCCTCATACTTACACTCTCTCTAAATTCTGTTTTTATTTCAGGAGATGTTTTTTTCTGTTTTCTTTTTGAATTTGTAGGTCTGATGAATTGGATCGTATTTAGGATTCCAATGGAATAAATTATGACCATGAAATATTAGTGTTTAAGCCTTTTTATTATATCCTTACTCTGTCCTGGACATTGAGTTCTACCTGGGTTCTATCCTCTCGGAATTTTTTATTAAAAAAATATCATATATGTGTATTCACCTATATATATATATATATATATATATATATATATATATATATATATATATATATATATATGTTAAGTTCCACCACGGAATATGTGATCGAGCGGCGCTATATCGGGTCTAATTCGCTTCCTATTCGTTACGGAGGCCCGTTGGTATGACGTTTTCCTGATAACGTGTCCGCGTTTCAATTCTCGGTAGTGGAAGCGCACTGGTGATGACTCTCAAATATAAGACGAAACGGCCCTCCATTGCTTTCTGCATTCTGTTGAGGTTTCTCCTAGACTTGATGAATTACTTAATTATATATATATATATATATATATATATATATATATATATATATATATATATATAAATGTAGATTAATACAAGTGTCTAAACAATATTTAAAAATTGCTCGATACTGAGTAGAGTATAATAATAATAATAGTAATGATAATAATGATATTTATTAACGTGTTATAATTGTGATACGGTATATTATGATTGTTAATATATATCGTAACGGAGCTATAGTATGCAGTGTGAAACCGCCTTGCACAGATTGGTCTTGAACTCAGATGAGCATATACACTAACTTCCGTTGTTTATAGCACTCCTTGAAATTAAAGTCTGTAGAACATGGCCGTCTCACCATATCACAGAGGTTCCATTAGTGACTATGGCTTCTGAAGTAATTTTTTTACCATGCAAAATATTTCCCAGTTCAGACAGCCATCATATTCTCCAGATCGCCCCACTTTGGACTTTTTCCTTTACAAAAATCAAGTCCCACTTGGAAGGAAGAATATTTCAGTTATCGAGAAAATCCAAGGAACTGTGACGTGTCAGTTGCTCTCTGACCCCACAAAAAGGAGTTCCACGAGTGATTTCATCAATGGAAACGGCGTTGAGTAAAGTGTGCTACTTCAGAAGGGGACTACATCGAAGGCGATTAAGTGGCGATATATACGGTATTTGATATATCGTTTATTTTTCCTTTTTATACCGCCAATCCCAATATTTTTTTTTATCAGACTTCGTACACACACACACACACGCATGCACACACACACACACACATGCAGCACCTTTGGAAAGTGCCTGAAAAACATCGCACGTGTTGACTCAAGCCTTGTGTGTGAAATTGGGTAGTCGGAACACTTAAGGGCTAGCACAAAGCCACAAGTAATCGTGGCCGATGGCTTGAACGTGCTGTTGATCACGCTAGATAACACGCTCTCTCCGAGAAACTCTAACAAAGGCCTCCTCGGCATAGTTGCAATATAAACCACAGGTTGGCTCTGTGTGTGTTAAGTAAACACAAATGTGCCTGAGCAAGCTTTTGCAATAGGGATTGGCTAGCCGCCCAAATAGACGGGTATCCTCGAATACGAGTGGCCAGCTATTATTATTATTATTTATGTGTACGTATTTATATACGAATATCATGTACCTGCAAATACACAATTGAAAATACATATTTAGTGCTTATTCCTTGTCTAGATTTCCATAATGTCCGCAGAAAACATTTGCAAGCGCTAGAATTGGCAAAAGTGATTCTACATACAAAATCAATCTTAGGCATACGATTTAATGGTAATGGTAATATTAGACTTTCCCTACAAAGAAACATTTAACTTTCACTGATTGACCATTTTTATCTTAAAACATTTTTCAGGAAATTTGGTTTCTTAAGTCCAATTGTCTTTATTACCTTTTACCAAACTCTGATGGGTGACTCCTTGGTAAACCTCTATAAGAAATAGTGTGGAATGTCAACATCTTGATCATGTAATTATATACGCTATCCATTTTATCTGTTGCTTCTTTTCATAAATCTCAAGTGATGTGTTTTCTCTTCTTTGGAACATTTTCTTTGTGTGCGTTTCTAAAGCGCCAAATCCAGTGTTCAAAGAAAGCTGGGCTTTGCCAACGCATTCAGATTTCATACAAATTCATTTGAACCTTGGATCTTAGAAAGCCTTTGTACATGAGAGATGAGATATGTCGGAACCGTCTTCAAAATGACCTACCTCGGAACTGCCTTCAAAATGACCTACCTCCTGATAAATATTTCCACTCTTTACATTGTTCGGGCTATTTTCCTCATCCTTATTATCGTATTAACGAGGTTTCCACCAGTGTACGCTCCGGTCTTCTTTAGGTGATATACGTTGGAATTTCGGACAGAACCCTTTATTTCGTCCACCGAATGTTCTAGTTCCACGTGCCATGTCTTTTTGGATATCTCAGTGTAAGTTATTTACCTTTAGTAACTGAACTCTGCAAGTTTTTGTTCACGTCTGCTGTAGTCAGGTATTGAACTCACAACACTTTTGGATCAAGTATTACCAGCGCTGCTCTCTGTGTCATTCGGCGCAATAATCCGAACAACGTAAATAGTGTAAGTCGCTCATCTCAGAAACATAGACAGGTCCAGATAACTGCTTGCCAACCCAAGAATAAACACGACTGTTTTCATATTGATTCAAGTATAAGCATGATCGATCCTCACTTACTGACTCAAGTATAAATATTGCCAAATTTTGAGCTCTGTGTTCAACGGTATACATGAAAAATATGTATGGGCTTTAAACACAACCAATGAACTTCAATATAAATAGCATCAATGTTTATCTCTGGAATAAAGCATAAAGTTGACCAATGATTGCATATGGATTCAGGAATAATATAAAACTATCTACTGCATTAATAATCCAACAAATCTTCATATGTTTATAAAAATATACCAACCCATTACGACCCACTCTCTTATATGTGAAACAGTTTTAATTTACACAAAATAAAATATAGATATGCGATCGTTTGGTGCATAGGTATATCGCATCTACTCTTTGATAAGTCGGCTGGCTGTTACCATGTGGGTTATCTAAAATCATTTCCACCTGACCCTCTCAGACGATTATTTACCCTTCGCCCAAAATATATCGTTACACAATGGAAAGGTTACAACTGCCCTGCTACAAGATGCCCGGTAAAACAAGCGGCAAATTCAGAAAGACGTGAGACAACCGTTGAAAACTGGTAACGACGGATGTGACTGAAAAATTCAGGAAGAATTTCTTCACATTTCGTCAATCCCCACGTCGGATGTTCTTCTTTGAAAAGGACGATAACATGACGCTTAAAAATCCGTGAGTTGTTTAGCCATACAAAAAGAGCAGAATGAAAGAAGTTAGGTGTCTGTAAATAAACTTCAAATGACGAGTCACAAGATCAAGCAACAATTAATCAATCATAAAAGAACCAATCAGAATTAAGTAATTACGCAAGAGTCGAATAATTATTCATGGTCATGAATATTCAAGAATTTTATTCAAGGTCAAATATCCCTGAACGATACAGTGATAATAAATTTGCGGCATTTTTATTATACGAATTTTTCAGTTTTAACATTTTAGAAAAAAATTTTCTCGTAATAAAAACATCAATTTCTAAGGTAGATACTTACGCGTATGATTTTCTGTAGTTGAATTATCTGCTTTACTTTAAATACGGTAAATTTAAGAAGACGTGATACCACCATTGAAAAATGTTAACGACTGCACAATTTATCAATCCCAACGTCGGATTCTCTTCCTTGAAAAGGACGATAACTTGAGGCTTAAAAATCAGTGAGTTGTTTAGGCATACGAAAAGAGAAGAATGAAAGAAGTTTGTTGTCTGTAAATAAACTTCAAATGACGAGTCACAAGATCAAGCAGCAATTAATCAATCATCAAAGAACCAATTAAGTTAAGTAATTACGCAAGAGTGGAATGATTATTCAAGAGCAAGAATATTCAAGAGATTCATTCAAGGTTAATTATTCCTGAAGGATAACACAATGATAATAAATTTGCCGCTTTTTTGTTTACTGGGAACCCTGTATTTAGCTGTAGACATAAGTGGATTTATGCATTCTTCCCTGGAATAAATATAAAACGCCAAACAGTACCACCCGAAATCCAAACTGATTTGATTTGATCAGTCGACAAAAACTATGCGTTTTTCTCGATAATGAGGCTACTTATTAACCAATCAAAATTGGACTTTACCCATCGCGCGCTAGACATATGCTTCTGAGGTATTTGTGTAGCTATATTTCGCAATCATTTCTACTTTGGGGCAGATAAATACTTCTGGACAAGTATCCTGAAATTTCTTCAAGGCAGGTACAGGGCATCGCATCATCAAATTATACAAGCCACTGCTTACTGACCAAATATGACACATAGACATATTTTTCAACAAATAAAAGCGTCATAGCAGCGCGTTAGATAAGATTAAGCATAACGGAATTTGGTAACCGTATCAGTTAAGTGCCACACGAGATACAAGCTTCTGCGATCATCTCTCTTTCGATAAATGACTGACGTCGCAGAAGATTTTATCCTGCAGTAATTTGTCAGTTCTTTCTGCGATAGAATGGTTACTAAGGCTAAAGAAGCCAGCCTGTCCTGCTATTTAACCTATAGCTGGGGATAGCCGAAAACGTTCCTATAACAGAATTTTGACAAAACGTTGAAATTACTCTAAGATAAATTCATGAGTTCTCACAGAGAACAAGGACGTCATTACCCGAGATGCATTATATTTCTGTTAATATTAAATACCTATTCCACCAGACTTATTCAACCTTTACGGCAAGGTCATCCTGAGAAGTTTAGAAGCCTTACCAAGATATAGTATTGTCCGACGCATACGTAACAAAAAAGGATGTGCAAATGGCACAGTGCTGATAGCAGACAGAGAAAGGTAATTGCAAGAACTCCTAATAAAAGTAGTAAAGGAAATGGAGAAAACACTTGGGGCTTTCATTCCGGATTCTTTCGAAAGGAATTGCAGCTGAAGAGAAGGTTTTTGTTTATCTGTCGGAGTAGATGTTGCGATTGCAGTATCGGCTCCGTGCCAGAGGCCTTCATTTTTCCCCTGGCGTTTTTCTTACCATTGCGTGACATCTGTTATGACCGGCTACGACTAGCTTAGACAAGCTTTGACCAGATTAGACCAGCTATGACCAGCTTACACAAGCTTTGACCAGCGTAGACAGGCCGTGACCAGCTTAGACAAGCCATGGCCAGCTTTGAGCAGCGGTTTGGAAGGAAGCACACGGGTTTCTACGATAAAACCGACATTTTGTCAAAACCTCAATCAGTGTGGGGTTAAGCAAATCTTGGGAGAAGAAAGGATTTGGGGCTTCCTTTCGGGATTCCTACGGAAGGATTGGCAGAGGAGGAGAAGGGTTTTTTTTCCCGTCAGTGTAGATGCTGCGGTTATAATATCTGTTCTGCGCAAGAGGCTTTCTCCCCTCCTTGGAGCTTCCTCACCCACCGTTGCGTAACATCTGTTACGTAGCTGTGGTATGTCCGTCTATGACTAAGTTAGACAAGCTTTGACCATTTTAGACAGGGCAAGCTTTCACCAGCTTAGACCAGAGGCTTGAGAGGAAACACTCGGGTCGCCACTCCAAAAACCGATCTTGTGTCACAACCAGTCTCAGTGTGTGTGGCGGGGTGTTAAGGTAAATCTCGTGAAAAGAAAAGACTAAGTAACCGTCGTAAGAAGACATAGGTATGGTTGTTAACAAATCAAAAACCGCAAGTTGCGAATTACAAATTTGGGAATGCAGAAATAAAGAATGCAAGAAAATTTAAATATCTAGGAAGTTCCTTTTTATAACAGAGGGATGAAAATGTGACAAGAATATTGGAAAACACGCAGGGTTAGCGAAAGATACCTGCGTTGCATAACCGTGTCTTAAGAAAGAGAAACATAGTGTTAGAAACAATACGTACTGATGTCTTATGTAATAACATTCCTCCCATATGAAAACGAATATTTTTTTAAGCATTATGCCCCGATCAAGGCGTGAAGACACTAGGATGCAAGGGCTTGCAGAAGATTTGGAACGAGAGCAGATAGGAATGATAGAAGAAAGGATGAGGAGAAGGATAGTTGATCGATCAAGGTAACTGGAGATGTCGATTGGCATTACATTTGTATAGTTGGAGATTATAGCTCTCAGAGAAACTGGAATAGGGAAGGGTGTTCCACAGGCGAGAGGTGCGAGGTATGAAGCCATTGCAGTAGAAGTGACGGCTACATTTAAAAGTTTCTACAGTGAAAGGGTGAGAGCGGGATGCCAGCCACGTAGGGCGCCTGAATTTATGAAGTCTGGGAACCAGTGAATGCAGCTCATCGGAGCAATTACCATGAAAGTATCTGTAAAAAAGACAGAGAGAGGCGACGGCGCTTCTATGAGAGAGGGACTGTAGACGAGATGCCAGATCAGGGCCAATTATATTACATATCCGCCTCGGACATGATAATCTCATTCTATAGATAAAGAATGGATTTAAGGAAAATGAAATGCAGTTATACAGGAGGATACTGAGAATACCATGGAATGAGTATGTGAGTAAAAAGGAAATTTTAAAGCAAACAGAATTAAAAAAAAAAACTACAGAAAGATACAACTGACATTTCTAGGACACATAATGATTTTATTGGTTAATTGATTCATTCAGTTTCTACGGTTTAACCTGCCGTTGCATTTTATTTAAAGCCAGAAAATATGTTTTAAATTATAAGAATTTTTTTTAAAGATAATAACGGTTTATTGATACAAGTCTTGCTTATTTACACATAGACGGGGACGAAAGATGGTGATTCTTAAAATATCCAAACGTATTTTCGCGCATGTGAATATAAAGAACCTGGCTGGAATTGGAACTCGGCTCTTCCATTAACAACATTACTAACATTATTTTGTTTAGTTTCTTGTACATAGATTTGTCCTCATATTGTAAATACTCAATGGGGCTAGTTTTTAAATTGCTGTTTTATTCCCCCAGCCAGACAACGAATTATACATATGGGAACTAGTTAGGTTTTTCATAGAGACAATGAAGTATTATGGTGGATTTAATAAGAAAGCTAAGTAAGAAAGCGTTTTTTTTTTTTGGTGTTAGGAATATTGTGCTACGTTTAGGGTCAGTGTTTGTGGCTAGCTTAGTTTAAAGTTAAGTCAGAACAAGACCGTCCTTTTCCCCATACCCCATTTTTGGCCTTGTGCATCATTTTCTGTATTTAGGCGGAAATAAATACCGCACTTCCATTAAAAATTCCATTACATCACCCACACATCCAAATGTACAACACCTGCTATTCCTAAACGGTCACCCATCGAGGTACTGACCAAGCTTGACGTTGCTTATCTTGTGTGATCATACGGGAATCGGTGTTACAACATAATGAATATATAGGGGGTGGAGTATTTCACGTACACTTAACTAATTGAAGTCAAGACAGACAGAGTGAAACAGATGGTAGAACAATTACTGAAGAGGTGTGTATATAAAAAAATATAGTAAGAGTTAGCAAGGAGAAGATGTTGTGGAGAGTCATGATCGCCCACGTTTTAAAGGGACGAGGCACATATAAGTAGAAAGACGATCTCTTCCGAGCAGACTAAGCAAATGCAAATATTTTACTTACGCCTCTGACCTATTTCCCCTCAGACAAAACATAATTTCTGTCAAGAGAAATCCGAAAATAAAATGGCTTCAATGACCGTAAGAGCTTTTTAGAATAAAGTTTACACGAGAAACCAAATCGATAATTTGCTGCCAATATATAGGGAACGATAGAAAATAAGTAATTATACTATCCAATATATTTTGTTAAAATAAATAGGCAATTTCGTGACAAACTACGTGATATTACTGGCAGGATTTACGTTTGAAGTTTTTCATAAAATGGGGATACCATCTGGTGTTTAAAGCCAAAATAGCCTCCGGTCAGATGATAAAGCCGAGAGGTCAAACGATTTCTATATAACGAGTTAAATGGAGCTGAAAGAAAAAGGTTACAGAATCGAACCTATTCATATATCGATGCATGATTCAGTAAGCATGCAATGAGTTACTTTGAAATATTTGGCATCGAACAGACAGGCGGGGGTTTATAACCTGGTCGGTGCAACGGAATGTGTGATCCGACCGTACAATCGAAGTGAGCCTTCATCTCAAACTTAATAAAGATATGTTGTATCTATTGAAGCGGGAAGAGAGATACTTAAACAGATCCTTATACGATTGTATGGCTTCGGTGTGCTTATCTGCACTTTTCTAAAATTATTCAGGAAAGGATTAACAACCGGAAATTGAACAAGAGCAAAAGAGTATGTAAATACATTAGGCATGCAAAAGGATTTATCAAATGAAGAACAGAACAGATTTAGTGTAAGCATACAGGACACACATACACGCGTGCACACACACACACACACACATGTACATACAATCATATATATATATATATATATATATATATATATGGGTGTTTGTGTGTGTGTGTATGTGCGTGTTTTTTATGATGATCTTAAGGTAATTATCAATATAAGTGTCTCATTCCAGACTTTAGGCATATAGGCCTACCACAAACACTCATATACAAGCATTTATATGCATATACACAATGCTATATATATATATATATATATATATATATATATATATATATATATGTATGTATAAATGCGGGTATATGAGTGTTTGTGATAGACTTCCATGCTCAATAGCTAAAAATGAAATGAAACATCTATATTAATAATTATTTTTAAAAAATCATGAAAAATTATACACACACACACACTCTCACTAAACCCCCATATATATATATATATATATATATATATATATATATATATATATATATATATATATATATATGCATATATATAATGTATATATATTATATATATATATATATATATATATATATATATATATATATATATACATATATATATATATATATGTATATGTGAATATGCATATGAATGCATGTATATGCGTTTCTGTGATATGATTTCTTACTCAAAGGCTAGAATTAAACGTCATAAATTTGTCATAAAAATATACACACATTCATATATGTATATTACTTCAAACGTTATTATAGTGGATATTCATATAGGGTGAGTATTATTTATATCAGCCTACGCAATACATTGTTTAGCGTAATTTGTACGTATGGATTTCATTGTGAATGAAATGTGCTACCAACGAGGAACAATATATATATATATTAAAGAGAGAAAAAATGCAATTTTTTATGATAATTATGATATTTTTTTAAATACTTTATTCTATATATTTATATATCTCCCTAAATTCGTGTTTTCTCTTACTGTAAATCTGGCTTTTCGATTAAAACAATAAATAAATATATGTAAATTTTCCTCCGTTTCTTTTTTGAAATACTTTTTGTTATTTTAAATTTAATGCAAGACTAAATTTAAAATGTATAATTCTTTTTTTTTAATTTTAGAGTAAATTAAAAATTAATCAGAATGATTTCTAATTTAGTCTGACATTGACATTAATAAATTGTATCTAAGTGTCGTTGTCAACTTTTTCGAATTACTATTTACGTGAATTTTGATTGGTCATTGTAGCTTACGTAACCATTTTTCCGCCATTGACGGCAGTTTGGTTCGTTTTGAAAAGAGTTTTTATAACTCTTTCTTCTGCAATCAACGCCATCACCTGATAAGACACCAGAAATGTTGAAAAGAAATATCTACATTTGTTGTGATGTTATAATATGTTTATGCTATAATATTTGAAGAAATACTATTTACTCTACTCTGTATTGAACATACGTTAAGAATAGTGTTTTTGGTTACTGGAATTTTAGTCCTATACTTCTATACACACACACACACACACACACACACACACACACACACACACATATATATATATATATATATATATATAGATAGATAGATAGATAGATAGATAGATAGATAGACAGATAGATAGATGAACGAATATATCGAGGATGACGAATGCCTTTCAAAGTCAGCATTTTCGGATTATATAATGTGTCTAATCCTTACTGGGTGATACATAGATGATGACTTGTATCACATATGAGGGGCACTCAGTAACTATACGTGTGTATATATATATATATATATATATATATATATATATATATATATATATATATATATATTCCACAAAATAATAACAAAAATAATTTTCTTTGTGTTTTCTGATGTTTAAGCATTGTCTTTTTTAAACAGATAAGAACGAATACCTCCTTCCTTCCCCTTTCTCTCAACGATACTAATTGTTTTACTACCCTTAAGCAGAAGAAGACTTTCGCCGCATATGCTCAAAAATTTAGGTTACTACTACGCTCAAAGGACAACGCTTAAACGTCGAAGAAAATAAACAAAATCAATTTCTTTTTTTAATAATATGTGGATTAACCCCCTTTTGCCTGATAAAGGTCGCGCAAATGGAAACTCGTGTAGCAAAAATCTGGAAAATAAGTTTTAATATATATTTAAAAAAAAACCATATATATATATATATATATATATATATATATATATATATATATATATATATATTATATATATATATACAATGGTGTAGCCAACAATTGTTAGAATGTTTTAATAGTGAAATTCAATAAAGAGTCGATAAATACACCATAACAAAATAGAGGGCACCAAAACGTTTACTTAATCTGTTCCTTTGATATGTTTTAAACGTTCAATCGTACTTATGGTCCATTAATTGCTCGTGGTATTATGTAAATCGCTATTTGTTCAACATCTTTTCATGATAAAAATTATATGTGTGCATATAACAGAAATATCAATCCGATTAAAAGTATTAGTAACACAACGGCAAAGACAGCCATGACAAATGCTATTTGAAGCCTACGTTGAACTAAGGAGAACATTTAAATGACAAAGATAACAGAGTTGCTTACATGAAATTACAGGTAATTATCATGCTTATGTCAGACAAATAAGTAAAGGAACTGAATAATTAAGCGGTTTATTTAATGTTGATGACTAAAATGATAAATGTATTAGAGTGAATTACATGAAATTAAACGGTTTATTTTGCTCGGAATCCAATTGTTTCTAAACGCGGATAAATATTCTATTTGTATCCATTATTAAATCGATCAAGGGAACTACTCACTTGTAAATTTAATAACTTATATTAAATTCCCACCATCCCTTCCATCTACAGATGAGACAGGAAATATATAAATATACAGGGAATACATAAATAAATGAACCTCCATAATTATTATATGTTTTCATTATTGCAGAGATATTAACATCGCGATGTGATTTGGACTTTACCATCATGGTAAGTTTCTTGTCAGCAGACTACACTAGTCCTTAGTCAGACACGCAGCCTCCAGTTATTTTGCTCTGTTTCTTATCATTGGACAAGTTGTGTAGTGTTAAGAAACAATAGCATTTTCTGCAATCTGTGAATGAATGGCCATATCATTCGTTTGGACAACAGTGACTTTGAGGAATTGTTGTAAGAAAATGTTTTTTTGGTGCCAGTCTTCAAGTACCAGCCATCATATATATATATATATATATATATATATATATATATATATGAAGAAAACAAACCAGAAATCCTTAAATGCAATTATGTTGTTTAAAATGAATGAAATGTCGACGTCTGACGTTTCGGTTTAATAAACCTTCTTCAAGACAATATTCATTAAAATACAATTCAGTTCAATTTGACAAAGATGATGGACATAAAAATTTTCAGTTATCTGTTTTGGATAAGACTTGTTTTTTTATGTCCATCGTCTTTGTCAAATTGAACTGAATTGTATTTTAATGAATATTGTCTTGAAGAAGGTTTATTAAACCGAAACATCAGACGTCGACATTTCATTCATTTTAAACAACATAATTGCATTTAATGATTTTTGGTTTGTTTTTTCAAATTTTTCTTCATTCTGTCGGATCTATATCCATTTACATTTGCATATATATATATATATATATATATATATATATATATATATATATATATATATATATATATATGACATTATAGTCATTCCATTTTTACATGTATTTATTATATTTTTGGCTTTGTTGTCTCTTTCTTTCACCTCTGCTCTTACTATCAGAAACGTGTTTATTCACTCATCTATTTGCATTTATTGTTTTTTATTCAATTATTTGCCTTCTTTATTTACTTATTTGCATATGTACAAGTTCCAAAATATGGATTTCATTTTATTTTACTTTATGTTATCTTACTTTATCTCGGCATATTTTATTATTACTGATTGCATTGTTTTTAGTCTTGATTTTTTAGGAATATTAATATTAATAATATTATTAAGAATTACTCTATTGATTCCCCGATGAAATTTAGAGTTACCCCCCCCCTTCATAACACCACTTCTAGTTCTTAAACCAGCCTCCCTCTAAATTAGAATTTATATTTCTTATTTCCAACCATATTTTCAAACTTAAATGCTAATCTTGGCCGAACATCAAATCCAAATGCAGCTATAATTCATTTACACATTTTAAAGTGTTTATTTACATATTTATACGTTCCTCTATAAGGCTCTTATTTTATTTTACTTTATTTTTTTTATTTTATTTTAAATCATTTTTCCATTGATATGCATTATTATTATTAATATTATTATTAGTAGTAGTAATAATAGTAGTATTAGTATTAGTAATTTATTTTATTTTGTTTTCTTTTGTATTATTTTATATTATATTGTCACGACATACTTTGTTCTTAGTATAATTAGATTTAGTTACTTTAGTAATATTATTGTCAATTACTCTCTTGATTTTTGGTAAAAAATAGAGTTGTCTCCCTTGATTTCCCACCGCCCGTTTTTTGTTTACTTACGTTTTCAAGAGCAGCATCTCGTAAATTTAAAATTTATATTTCTTATTTTAAACCTCATTTTAAATTTTAAATGTTAATCTGAGCTTAAATTCAAATTTAAAATTAAACTACAATTCATTTAAATATTTTGTCTCCTATAATATTCCACATCATCAATAATGTATCCCATGAGAACCATAAAAGTAAAAAAAAAAAGAAAAAAAAGTGTTAATCCACAATATAAATATAAATAAATATATTTCCAGCACATGAAAATTGCTTCGGCATGAAACTCGGAGTGTACAATTAAAAAAAGATATTATGTATACTTCTTAATATATATATTAAATAGCTCGGTTAGTTAATATTGAGCACTTAACATTGATCGTTTCCTGAATCCGAGTGCAACAGGAGAGACCGGCAACACCCCTGGGCGACTGGGCAGCCTCCTTAGGACAGCACTGCCCACCCTCACATGGGGGAGCAGGCTAGAAAAGGTGCCGCAAAAAAAAATGATTGCCTTTTTTTTCGACTGGGTATTTCGCCACGGTTGACAGACTCATCCAAATGGCGGTCGAACAATGGAAAAGAAAAATCACAAGGAGCTCATTTTGGGAGTTTGGAACTTTGGAATACTCTTGGATAGGGAGAGTACGTCGAGACCAGAAAGAAGAACATCGCTTGTCGCAAAAGAACTCCAGTGATACCGAATAGACATTGCTGAACTCGGTGAAATTCGGCTTGACGATGAAGGTTCACTAAGAGAAGAAATAGATGGATACACCTTCTTCTGGAAAGAAAAATCTCAAGTTGAAAACCTGGATTCATGACTTAGGATTTGCGATCAGAACATCTCTGATAAAAAGCACATCACATTATTTACATTATTCAGACTATTGTCCTCATCTCTGTCGCCATATTTATTACAACGTTTTGGCCGTTGTACGCTCCGGCATTCTTTAGGCTGTTGGAATGTCGAACTGAACCCTTTACTTCGCTCACTGGGGTAGACTGTTCTAGTTCCACGTGCCATGTTTGATGGATGCCCGTTATCAGTTATCTCCTGTTAATTTCCCCCTGAAAATTCTCTACAGCCATGGCCGGGCATTGAACTCAAACTCTTTGGGTCATGTCACTAGATCTAACCAACGTGTTTATCCACTGTACCATGTGTTCTCAAGTATGGCACGTGGAACTAGAACAGTCTATCCTAGTGAGTAAAATAAAGGGTTCAGTTCAACATTCCAACCACCTGAAGAATGACGGAGCGTACAACGGCCGAAACGTTGTAATAAATATGGCGACAAAGATGAGGACAATAGTCCGAATAATGTAAATAATGTACACAATACCTCATCTCAGAAATATAGACAGAAAAGCATATCAATTCTCCCACTTGGATTCAATAAACACCTCATGAAACTGTACATTGCTGTCAAAAAGTTAAGACAATGCACGGTGGTCAGTGCGTATGCATACACGCCCACGAGTCCAAGAGCAGTTCTAAGAACTTCTTGATCAGGTTATGAAGTCAACCTCACATAATGACAAACTCGTCATCCTTGGAGATTTCAATGCCAGAGTAGGAAGAAACTACAACGGCATGGAAGGCGTATCTGGACAGACACGTTGTAGGCACGGTTAATGACAATGACCAGGTCCTCCTTGTCAAGTGTCCAGAACACGGCCTCTGCATTACGAACTCATTGTTCAGGATGGCTTAACCCCTGAATGCACCCGAGGTCAAAACACTGGCACATGATTGATTTCATCATTGTACACCAACGTGACGTCAGGGACGTCCATGTGACTTGTGTCATGAGGGTTACTGAATGCTGGGATGACTACAGGTTGGTCAGGGTCATACTGACGCTGAATTACCACAACTTCACAGAAACCGACACAAAACTATTACGCTTTCATACAAGCTTGCAGCTGCTTGACGAAAAGCGCCGAGATTGTCTGACCCCCGAAGGCAGCACCAGAAAATGCCCTTCTTTTAGGGGCACCTTCGCTGAGACTGCTAGGGATGTTCTTCGGGAAAAGGCTAGAATTCGTGAAGATTGGTTTGAACAGAACAATGAGAAGATCAAGGAATCTCTCCATGAGAAGAAAAAGTCTTACAGTGAGTGTCTGCATGACCCATCTTCCGTCTCCAAATGC